AATGATCGCCATTCTAACTGGTGTGAGATGGTATCTCAATGTTGTTTTGATTTGCATTTCTCTGATGACCAGTGATGATGAGCATTTTTTCATATGTTTGTTGGCCTCATGTATGTCTTCTTTTGTAAAGTATCATCTGTTCATATCCTTTGCCCACTTTTGAATGGGCTTGTTAGTTTTTTTCTTGTAAATCTGTTTTAGTTCTTTGTAAATTCTGGATATCAGCCCTTTGTCACATGGGTAAACTGCAAAAATTTTTTCCCATTCTGTTGGTTGCCGATTCACTCTAATGACTGTTTCTTTTGCTGTGCAGAGCTGTGGAGTTTGATTAGGTCCCATTTGTCTATTTTGGCTTTTGTTGTCAATGCTTTTGGTGTTTTGGTCATGAAGTCCTTGCCTACACCTATGTCCTGAATGGTTTTGCCTAGATTTTCTTCTAGGGTTTTTATGGTGTTAGGTCTTATGTTTAAGTCTTTAATCCATCTGGAGTTAATTTTAGTGTAAGGTGTCAGGAAGGGGTCCAGTTTCTGCTTTCTGCACATGGCTAGCCAGCTTTCCCAACACCATTTACTAAACAGGGAATCCATTCCCTTGTTTTTGTCTGGTTTGTCAAAGATCAGATGGTTGTAGATATGTTGCGTTGCGTCCAAGACCTCTGTTCTGTTCCATTGGTCTATATCTCTGTTTTGGAACCAGTACCATGCTGTTTTGATTACTATAGCCTTGTAGTATAGTTTGAAGTCTGGTAGTGTGATGCCTCCCGCTTTGTTCTTTTTGCTTAGAATTGACTTGGCTATGCGGGCTCTCTTTTGGTTCCATATGAAGTTTAAGGTGGTTTTTTCCAGTTCTGTGAAGAAGGTCATTGGTAGCTTGATGGGGATAGCATTGAATCTGTAAATTATTTTGGGCAGTATGGCCATTTTCACGATATTGATTCTTCCTAACCATGAACATGGAATGTTTCTCCATCTGTTTGTGTCCTCTCTTATTTCATTGAGCAGTGGCTTGTAGTTCTCTTTGAAGAGGTCCTTTACATTCCTTGTTAGTTTTATTCCTAGGTATTTTATTCTCTTTGTGGCAATTGTGAATGGAAGTTCTTGATTTGGCTCTCTTCAAGTCTGTTATTGGTGTATAGGAATGCTTATGATTTTTGCACATTGATTTTATATCCTGAGACTTTGCAGAAGTTGCTTATCAGTTTCAGGAGATTTGGGGCTGAGATGATGGGGTCTTCTAGATATACAATCATATCATCTGCAAAGAGAGACAATTTGATTTCCTCCTTTCCTATTTGAATACCCTTTATTTCTTTATCTTGCCTGATTGCTCTGGCTAGAACTTCTAGTAGTATATTGAATAGGAGTGGTGAGAGAGGGCATCCTTGTCTAGTGCCACATTTCAAGGGGAGTGCTTCCAGTTTTTGCCCATTCAGTATGATATTGGCTGTTGGTTTGTCATAGATAGCTTTTATTATTTTGAGATACTTTCCGTCAATACCTAGCTTATTGAGGGTTTTTAGCATAAAGATCTGTTGAATTTTGTCAAAGGCCTTCTCTGCATCAATTGAGATAATCATGTGGTTTTTGTTTTTGGTTCTGTTTATATGGTGAGTTACGTTTATAGACTTGCGTATATTGAACCAGCCTTGCATCCCTGGGATGAAGCCTACTTGATCATGGTGGATAAGCTTTTTGATGTGCTGTTGCAATTGGTTTGTCAGTATTTTATTGAATATTTTTGCATCTATCTTCATCATGGATATTGGCCTGAAGTTTTCTTTTCTTGTTGAGTCTCTGCCGGGTTTTAGAATCAGGATGATATTGGTCTCATAAAATGATTTGGGAAGAATTCCCTCTTTTTGTATTGTTTGGAATAGTTTCAGAAGGAATGGTACCATCTCCTCTTTGTATGTCTTATAGAATTTGGCTGTGAACCCGTCTGGACCTGGGCTTTTTTTGGGTGGTAAGCTCTTAATTGCTGCCTCAACTTCAGACCATGTTATGGGTCTGTTCAGGGTTTCAGCTTCTTCCTAGTTTAGGCTTGGGAGGAGGCAAGTGTCCAGGAATGTATCCATTTCTTCCAGGTTTACTAGATTGTGTGCATAGAGTTGTTTGTAATAATCTCTGATGACGGTTTGAATTTCTGTAGAATCTGTGGTGATATCCCCTTTATCATTTTTTATTGCATCAATTTGGTTATTCTCTCTTTTCTTTTTTATTAGTCTGGCTAGTGGTCTGTCTATTTTGTTGATCTTTTCCAAAAACCAGCTCCTGGATTTATTGATTTTTTGAAGGGTTTTTTGTGTCTCTATCTCCTTCAGTTCTGCTGTGATCTTAGCTATTTCTCATCTTCTGCTAGACTTTGAGTTTTTTTGATCTTGCTCCTCTAGCTCTTTCAGTTTTGATGATAGGGTGTCAATTTTTTATCTCTCCTTACTTCTCATGTGGGCACTTATTGCTATATATTTTCCTCTAGGGACTGCTTTAAATGTGTCCCAGAGAGTCTGGTAAGTTGTGTCTTCATTCTCGTTGGTTTCAAAGAACATCTTTATCTCTGTCTTCATTTCATTGTTTATCCAGTCAACATTCAAGAGCAAGTTGTTCAGTTTCCATGAAGCTGTGCAGTTCTGGGTTAGTTTTTGAATTCTGGGTTCTAACTTGATTGCACTGTGATCTGAGAGACTGTTTGTTATGATTTCCGTTCTTTTGCATTTGCTGAGGAGTGATTTACTCCCAATTATGTGGTCAATTTTAGAGTAAGTGTGATGTGGTGCTGAGAAGAATGTATACTCTGTGGATTTGGGGTGCAGAGTTCTGTAAATGTCTATTAGGTTTGCTTGGTCCAGGTCTGAGTTCAAGTCCTGGATATCCTTGTTAATTTTCTGTCTGGTTGATCTGTCTAATATTGACAATGGGGTGTTAAAGTCTCCCACTATAATTGTGTGGGAGTCTAAGTCTCTTTGCAAGTCATTAAGAACTTGCCTTATGTATCTGGGTGCTCCTGTATTCGGTGCATATATATTTAGGATCATTAGCTCTTCTTGTTGCATTGATCCTTTTACCATTATATAATGTCCCTCTTTGTTTTTTATGATCTTTATTGCTTTAAACTCTAATTTATCAGAGATGAGAATTGCAACTCCTGCTTTTTTTTGCTCTCCATTTGCTTGGTTAATCTTCCTCCCTCCCTTTACTTTGAGCCTTTGTGTATGCTTGCATGTGAGATGGGTTTCCTGGATACAGCATACCAATGGGTTTTGGCTTTTTATCCAATTTGCCAGTCTGTGTCTTTTGATTGGGGCATTTAGTCCATTTACATTTAGGGTTAATATCGTTATGTGTGAATTTGATACTGCCATTTTGGTGCTTGCTGGCTGTTTTGCCCATTAGTTGATGCAGATTCTTCATTGCGGTGATTCTCTTTACCATTTGGCATGTTTTTGGAGTGGCTGGTACTGGTTGTTCCTTTCTATGTGTAGAGCCTCTTTCAGGAGCTCTTGTAAAGCAGGCCTGGTGGTGATGAAATCTGTGAGTACTTGCATGTTCCCAAAGGATTTTATTTTTCCTTCACTTATGAAGATTAGTTTGGCTGGATAGGAGTTTCTGGGTTGAAAGTTCTTTTCTTTAAGGATATTGAATATTGGCCCTCACTCTCTTCTGGCTTGTAGGGTTTCTGCTGAGAGATCTGCTGTGAGTCTGATGGGCTTCTCTTTGTGGGTAACTCGACCTTTCTCTCTGGCTGCCCTTAGTATTTTCTCCTTCATTTCAACCCTGGTGAATCTGACGATTATGTGCCTTGGGGTTGCTCTTCTTGACGAATATCTTTGTGGTGTTCTCTGTATTTCCTGGACTTGAATGTTTGCCTACCTTGCTAGGTTGGGGAAGTTTTCCTGGATAATATCCTGAAGAGCATTTTCCAGCTTGGATTCATTCTCTTCATCACATTCAGGTACGCCTATCAAACGTAGATTAGGTCTTTTCACATAGTCCCACATTTCTTGGAGACTTTGTTCATTCTTTTTTACCCTTTTTTCTCTATTCTTGCCTTCCAGTTTTACTTCATTGAGTTGATCTTCAACCTCTGATATCCTTTCTTCTGCTTGGTCAATTCAGCTGTTGATACTTGTGCATGCTTCACGATGTTCTCATGTTGTGTTTTTCAGCTCCATCAATTCATTTATATTCCTTTCTATTTTGTCCATTCTCATTAGCATTTCGTCAAATCTTTTTTCAGTGTTCTTAGTTTCTTTGCATTGGGTTAGAACATGGTCTTTTAGTTCACAGAAGTTTCTTACTACCCACCTTCTGAAGTCTGATTCTGTCATTTCATCAGTTCTCCATCCAACCTTGTTCCCTTGCTGGTGAGGAGTTGTGATCCCTTTTAGGAGGAGAAGTGTTCTGGTTTTGGGTGTTTTCATCCTTTTTGTGCTGGTTTCTTCCTATCTTTATGGATTTATCCACCTGTCGTCTTTGTAGTTGCTGGCTTTCAGACTGAGTCTCTGAGTGGACGTTCTGTTTGTTGATGATGAGGTTATTTCTGTTTCTTGGTTTTCCTTCTGACAGTCTGGCCCCTCTGCTGTAGGTCTGCTGAGGTCCCCTCCAGGCCCTGCTTGCCTGGAGATCACCTGCAGCAGCAGCTGAACAGTAAGGGTTGTTGCCAGTTTTCTTCTTCTGCTATCTTTGTCCCAGAAGGATACCTGCCAAGTGTCAATCTGATCTCTCCTTTATTAGGTGGCTCTTTGGATATACAGGGGTAAGGGGGCTGCTTGAGGAGACGGTCTCTTCTTTATAGGAGCTCAAATGCTGAGGTTTGAGCTCCGTTTTTCATTCAGAGCTGCTGGGCAGGTACGTTTAAGTCTGCTGCAGCAGATCTCATAAACTGCTTTTTGTTCCCAGGTGCTCTGTCCCAGAGATTTAGGGCTTTATGAGTTTCCATTATGCTGCTGCCTTCTTTTTTTTCCTTCAGAGCTGCCCTGTGCAGCAAGGAGGCAGCCTAGTCACTGTCTGCCTGTAGAGGCTTTGCTGAGCTGCTGTGGGCTCCGCCCAGCTGCTGAGTGAACTTCCCTGCAGTCCTGTTTATATGGGTGTAATTAGAACTGCCTTGGCAATGGTGGCCCACCTCTGTTAAGGTGGAGCCTCTCTGCAGTGGTGGGTTGCCTTGGCAACGGTGGGCTGCCTCAGCAATAGCAGGTTGCCTTGGCAACGGCGGGCTGCCTCAGCATTGGCTGACTACCTCTGTAGCGGCAGGCTGCCTCGGTAATGGCGGATGCCCCTCCCCCACAGAGCTGGACTGTCCCGGGTTCAGCTGCGCTTGCTGTGAAAGTCTCAATCCAGAGAGTTTCTGATTGCTGTTCTTTTGTGAGGGTGGGACCAGCCGAGCCTGATCACCTGGCTCCCTGCGTCAGAGCCTTTTTTTTTTTTTTTTTTTTTAAGTTGGTGTTTCAGTTGCCTGTTGAAGAGGCGCTGGGGTCTGTGTTTTTCCCGATGACTCACTGTGCTGGCTTAAACAGCACACTGAGATTTGTGGTGCTTTTTTTGCCCTGGAATCTACTGTCCTGGTTCCCTGCTCAGTCCTCTTTTTGAACAGACGAATGGGCGACTTCCCGTGGCTCCAATCGCCAGCCAAAAGGGCACCCGGACCAGTGTATTTTGTATGGAGAGCCGCTGCTCTGGGGCACCGACAAAGCAGCTGCGTGGGGCAAAGCAGCAGCGCCGGCAGGCACAGCCGCGGTGGCTGAAACAGCCGCACTGGTGACCCATGGAGCTCCTCCACCTGGGAATTGCCTAGTCTGTGGGCAATAAAAATGCGGCGTCCACTCATCCTCCACGCTTTCACTGGGAGCTGCAATCCTGAGCTGTTCCTAAACGGTCATCTTGTATCGTATCCAATTGTATATATTCTTTTGTAAATTATCTGTTAATATATTGTGCCCATTAAAAAAATATGTTGTTTCTTATTTATGTGCTTTAAGAGTTATTTACATATTTAGGAAACAAGTTCATTATCAGATGTATGTTTTGCAAATATTGTTTTCCCAGTTGTGGCTTGTCCTTTTATTATATTAACAGTATCTTTGATGGGAAGAAGATGTTAATGTTGATGAAGCCTAGTATATAACTTTATAAATAGATCATGCTGTTAAATTTTTATCTAAGAAATCTTTGTCTAAACTATAGTTGTGGCTGGGCACAGTGGCTCATGCCTGGAATCCCTGCACTTTGGGAGGCTGAGACAGGTGGATCACTTGAGGTGAGGAGTTTGAGACTACCTGGCCAACATGGCAAAACCTCATCTCTACTGAAAATACAAAAAATTAGTTGAGCGTGATGGCACATGCCTTTAATCCTAGCTACGTGTGACGCAGAGGCAGAAGAACTGCTTGAACCTAGGAGGTGGAGGCTGTAGTGAGCTGAGATTGTGCCACTGCACTCCAGCCTGGGTGACAGAACAAGATTCCATCTCAAAAACTAAATAAATAATAAATAAAAAAAATAAAGTTGCAAAAATTTTCTCCTGTTGCCTTCGAGTTTATTAATGGTAAGTCTAGGATTCATTTTGAGATAGTGTTTATATATATGGATTCAAGGTTTATTTTTTTGTTTGTTTGTTTTGTTTTTGCTTTCTTGTACATAGGTATAAAAAAAGTTTCAGCAATATTTGCAGGAAGACACTCCTGTCTTCATTGAATTAACATAGTATCTTCATAAAAAATCAGTTGTTCATGCCATTGAACTGTATACTTAAAAGCAATGGAAATAATAAATTTTATGTTATGTATATTATATAAAATGAAAGAAATCATCAAGCTATAAACTTGATGAAAAGTCAGTTTTAGTGACATGACTCTCTATACTCCCATACTACAATATTTTGATAACTCCACTTTTAAAATAAGTTGTATAATTAGGTAATGTTAGGCCTCAAACTACGTATTTTTTCAAAGTCTCAAAATACAGCTATTCTAGATCTTTGCATTTCTATATGAATTTAAGAATCATTATGATAATGTCTACAAAGAAGCCAGCTGAGATTTTGATTGTGATTACATTGAATCTATAAAGTAATTTGGCAGTAACTGACATATTAACAATACACAGGCCAGGCGCAGTGGCTCATGCCTGTAATCCCAGTACTTTGGGAGATGGAGGTGGGAGGATGACCTCAGCTCAGCAGTTTGAGACCAGCCTGGCCAACATGTTAAAACCCCATCTTTGCTAAAAATACAAAAATCAAGCAGGCATGGTGACACATCTCTGTAATCCCAGCTACTCAGGAGGCTGAGGCAGGAGAATTACTTGAATCTAGGAGGCAGAGGTTGCAGTGAGCTGAGATCATGCCGCTGTACTCCAGCCTGGATGACAGAGTAAGACTGCATCTCTAAATAAATAAAAATACACAGTCTTCTGCAATCATCTTACCTGTGGGACAAAGTATCTGTCTCTATTTAGTTATTAAATTTATTGTGTCAGTATTTTACAATTTCAGTAGACAGGTTTTTCACATCTCTTGTCAGATTTATATCTAAATATTTTATTTTTATACTATTATAAATCTTAGTTTTCAAATTTTAAGCTTCAATTGTTTACACTAACACATAGAAATATAATTTACTTTGATAAGTTGATTAATCTTCTATTCTGTAATCTTAAGTGGCTTACTAGCTTTGTAACTTCTTTTGTAGATCTCATCCAAATTTGTATAGACAATTATGTTTTCTGTCAATAAAGACAGTTTTACTTTCTTGTTTCCAATCTGAATGCCTTTTATTTTCTTCATTGCACTGATTAAAAGCTTTAGGGAAATGCTGGACAGAATTGGTGAGGGCAGACATCTTCAACATGTTCTGATCTTAGGGGAAAATATTCAGCTTTTCACCCATTAAGTGTGATATTAACTGTGGGTTTTTGTAGATATTATATTTAAAGTTGAGAAAGTTCCCTCTATCCCTGACTTGCTAAGAGTTTTTAGCAAGAATGGATATTGGACTTTCTAAAATACGTTTTCTATGTCGTATGTTTTTTAGTCTATTTATATAATGAATTTCAAGTTAGATCAATCCTGCATTCCCAGAATAAATGCTACCTGGTCATGACATATTTTAAGTAATATATATTTTGTGATTGAATGTATTAGTCTGTTCTCCTATTGCTGAAAAGGACTCCCTGAAACTGAATATTTTGTAAAGAAAAGAGGTTTAATTGACTCATGGTTCCACAGGCTGTACAGAAAATATGCCTGGGGAGGCCCCAGGAAACTTACCATCATGGTAGAAAGGGAAGAGAAAGGAGGCATATCTTATATGGCCAGAGAAGAAAGAAAAGAGTGAAGCAGGAGATGTTGCATAGTTTTAAACAACCAGATCTCATGAGAGCTCACTCACTATCACAAGAACAGAAAAGGGGAAATTTGACCCTATGAACCAATCACCTCCTACCAGGCCCTTCCTACAACATTGGAGATTATAATTCAACATGACATTTAGATGGAGATACAAACTGTATAATTGGATTTATCAAATTTTATTTAGAATGCAGATTTATGAGATAACTGAATGTTTTATTTCTTTTCTTTTAATGTAATTGCCTGGTTTTATTAGCAGATAATGCTTATTTCATAGAGTTAAGTGGGAAAGATTTCCTCCTTTCCGTTTTCTGGAAGGGTTTGTGTAGAATGTATATTATGTATTCCTTAAATGTTTCATACAATTCAACAGTAAAGCCAGTTGAGTTTTATCTTTCAGTTCCACTGAAGATGGAGTACAAAACAGTACCTCTATGTTTTACACACTAATCACTTTTTCTGTCTAATTTGCTCTTAATTTTACTCAGGGTATTTTTTATTTTAGTCATTGTAGTGGTCATTAGTTGAACTCTCATTTGGGTTAATTTATATATATCTTTCATGCTTCTGATTAACTTTTTGTACATATGGAAAAGAGTTATAAGAACTTTCTTAACATTCTTTGACAATTTTAAGATCTCTATCACACCATGGTCAGTTTCAATTGATTTATTATTCTATTCAATATAGAAAATGTTTCCTTGCTTCTATTCATACCTAGTATACTTTAATTATATGTCCAACATTCTAAATTTTACCTGGCTAAATGCTGTATATTTTTATATCCTTAAAAATATTTTTGAGCTTTGTTCTGACATGCACTTAATTTATTTAGAAACACTTTGGTACTTGCAGGCTTGATCAATTCATCATTTGTTAGTCAGTTCTAGAGTCGTGCTCGGTCTACAGTAATTATTTCCCACTACTAAGGAAAAATCTCTAACGTCCCATGACCTATGATTTTTTTTTCTAGTCAGTCCTATGGAAATAATGATACTATTCCAAGATGTGATTCAATGCTAGGTGGTGTTTCTTCTAATTCTTTCAGTTGACTTTTACTATAGTTTCAGATAGTTTCCTCATGACGTTGCAATTATTAGTACTCTGCTAAGTGCCTTAGAATAACCCTGCTGTCCAGCATGAGCTCTTTGCATAGTCTCTCCTCCCTGGTACCCTGTCGTGTGAATTCCAGTTGCCAAGGTCTCCTCAGAATTTTAACTCCATCTCCTCAAGTGTGTGAGTCCACCAGTATCTGCCTGGATGCCTTGTAGCCCAAAAATTCTCATGGTAGTCAGCTAGAGAAATCATATAACTCATTCATTTGTTTTCTCTCTCTCAGAGATAACTCTGTTTTGTTACCTAACATTCAGTGTCTTGAAAACTTACAAAATAGCCTTTATCATCTCTATATTTGTAGCTTCAGAAGGGAGGACAAATCTGTTCCTGTTACTCCATGATGGGCAGAAGCAGGAATTTAAAACAGCACTGACACTGAAGTAACCCAGAAAACAGTTTAAGTGAAAAAAAAACCCAGCAGATTTAAATTTCAGAGGAAAAAACTAGGCCAAGTTGTTGATGAATTTTTTGGATTCATAAAGATGAGAAAGAAGAGAAGATCTGTGGTAAGAATATTTTAATACAATTATTATTATTTATGGTATGACATTGCTTACTACATGAGTTCTGAACTTCTTTTGTATGTTTTATACACTGGTATTACATTCAGGAGTTAAAACATGAACTCTTACCGATGCAGGAAAATAAATAGTATAACTGCTTTATCCAGTTTGCCAATAAATAAATGATATAATTAAAATAAGGAAATATAAACTACTAAGTATTCTTTTTGCATATTTGAAGTACTTTGTTGGATATTCTTCATTGTATCCTTTGAACTTATTTTCTATTCTTTTCACTCCTCAGTGTTCAGGGAAGTTAATCTGTATTGAATGAATCAGCCACTCATATTCTCTAGTTTCTGGCTGCTTGTAGGAAATGGGAGGAGCCAGCAAAAATATCAGAATGGGAGAGGACAGAGTGAAGTACTCACTTCCCAGTTTCCTTCTTGTATTACCACAGGTGCCCAGTAAGAGATTTCTTTTCCATAGGGCACGAAATTCTCTTTCTGGTGTACTACTATTGTAAAAATCGAATAGCTCCCTCTTCATAAACACAATTGTTCTCTTCAACAGCCCCTTCGGCTTAAGGCTATTAATGGCTGCTGTTGGTAGGTCCTGGGAGCTTTGCTATCTCTTGTCATTTTTTCTTAATTCTCACATCTATTAAAAATTATATTTCAAACTAAATATTCTTCAAACCCTTCTTTGTATGCTCTCTGTTGTTTGAAGGAAACTAACTAGAAAATGGTATTTTTTTTTTCTTTTTAAGAAACAAAGACTCACTATGTCGCCCAGGCTGGCATGCAGTGGCCCAATTTTGGCTCATGCAGTCTCAAACTCCTGGGCTCAGGGAATTCTCCTGCCTCAGCCTCCTGAGTAGTTAGAACTACAAACATGTGCCACCATACCCAGCAAAATTATTTATTTATTTAAAGATGGGATCTCACTATATTGCCCGAGATTATCTTGAACTCTTGCCTAAAGTAGTCCTTCTTTCTCAGCCTCCCAAACCACATGGGTTACAAGCATGAACCA